GAGACAGAGACAGCGACTGCTCCCGTCTTTCGCACTCGTGAGGATGAGGTGGATGAGGCATCCCACCTACCTACCCCCCCCTGAGCGCTCTGCGGAATCAGTCTGCTGCTGCACTCGATAACTATTGTGTGCATTTTTGCGTGGTTGTGGCATTCCCTCGTACATTCCAGTCCAGCCAGCGTGGTGAGCGGTGGTGAGAGGAGTGGTGTGATACCGGTGGTATCCAGCCAAAATTGCATCGACGTCGATTCCTAGACTTGAGGACTTGAGTGACAGAATACCGTTTCTCGTGCAACATCGACGCCGATCCGTCGTCGATCGACTCCCATTGCTGGCTTAGGAGAGAAATGCTTTGACCGAATTTATCGCAGTCGGCTGTATGACGGCGTCCCCAGACGGTTCCCCGAGCGCGCACGGTCGTAAGTGCGTCTTTGTGGTTCTGCGATTCCTGGCAGCGGGTCCACCAACCAACAGAGGGGACGCGGTTACGCAACGGGAGAGACAGAGATAACGGGGGCTCTCATCGGAAGGGAAAACGTACGCACTAGCGAATAATCGGAAGGCGGTTAAAGGATACGGCATTGTGTGACGTCACGAGGCGTTATTCACAGCGCGCATTTGCATTGCAGCAGAGGCAGCATACGGGCGACACGGCCAGAGTTTGCATATAGCATCCCAACCCGAGCGTGTCGGGCGCGGGACTGGAGCGCCTGAACGCCCGCTGCACACGTCTCCGGGTGGGCATGGGACTTCATACACTGGGGCGCCGCTGTGTTGCTGCTAGTCCCTCATGTCAGCCCCCCGAGTTGCACAACCTTTAGGAAGCAGAGAGTCGAGTAAAATAAATCCCCCAGGCCGCTGCTCCGTCTCCGTGCTCGTGGACGTGGAACCGGAGCGCTGCTCTCAGCTGCGCTGGACCCCCCTTCCTCCCCGTCGCCACCGCTACCGCACCGCGCCGCCGGGACCCCTGCAGCTAGGCAACCCCTTCGACGCCTCCCCCGGGGTCGCGTTCCTTTCGACGACGCTTCAAGAAGAGAGTCCACCTTCGCGCTTCCCGCGAAAGCCAAGGAAAACGGCTGCCAACTGCGTCGCAGAAATAGCAACCGTTCCTTGGCAGGAGACACTTCTGGAGTAGCGAGACATCCCCAGGGACCGTCTCATGGCGGGAGCCGTCTTGGCTCTCGCTGACGTCTTCTCCCGCGGTCCGGCGGCATATATACCGGCCGCTCCAGCATACATTCCGGGCGTCCGCGGGGACTCGTGGTTGTAAAGATGAAGAAGATGAACGAAAGATGATGATGATGATGAAGAAGAAAACGGAGAGTACCTGCCCTCGGTGCTCTCCTACTTCTCACCCCGCCCTCGGGCATACCCACGAGTCCCGACTTCGACGCCCTTTTTGACTTTTTTAAAAGCTCGCTCCCCGGAAAAGTAATAACAACCCCTACAAACTTGACAAAATCAAGTAAAATACATTTTTTTAGAATAAGAGAAAATTAGAAAAGTAATACCAAAAATATTGTTTCAAGAGAAAAACCAGAAAAATAGTCGTAAGCTTGAATTAATAGTGAAGCACCCCTCGGCACCGCCCCCCGCCCCCTGAGTACACGACGGCGCCAGCTGCTGCTGCTGCTGCGCCGGTCCAGCTAATCTTCTATGCACATATGCGGGCGAGCCGGCGCGGCGCACTGCCTGCTGTCATGATTGTCCGTGATATCCGCCAAGGTCGGCCGGCGATCGCGCCACGCCCCGATACCGCCCCGGCGTGGGGCTGCGTCCGCGGCGCGCGCGCGGCTACACCCCTCTCCCCCTCCCCTGCTCATGCAGCGGCGCAAATACAAAGGCCGACGTCGACTCGACAGAGAGAAGGGGGACGTTCGAGTAACCGCGGCACTGGAACGTTCGCCTTCGGAGCTGGGCATAAAATATAGTCCAAATCGAGACAGAGAGAGAGAGAGAGAGAGAGAGAGAGAGAGAGAGAGAGAGAGAGA